AAGCTACACAAGCGGAGGCCTGAAGAAACTTCCGCCCAGCCCGCCGAGAAGGTCGCACGTGGCAACAGCCCCGCTGGAGCTCGGCCACCACAAGAACTTGGAGATGCAGCAGCGGGTGAACAAGAGGACGCCGCCGGCGGGGGCGGAGGTGCAGCCAGCAGCTCCGCAGGCCACCCACGGGGGAGCTCGCGAGGCTGATGCGCCACCGCACCCCGATGTTCGACAGCGTGCGCAGGAACTGCTCGCCAACAGGAAGCCGCCTGAGCCGCCTTCCCAAACAACCCCCCCCCCCCCCCGACGCCTGATGCTCACGTGAGCAGCGTGTCGGGGGGTGTCTTTTTGCACTTTTCACCTGCTATCGCCAGGCTGTGCCGTGATCCCGCCCCCAAGGCTCCGTCCTTGAATTTTGGCAGTTGTCTCTGGGCCCCAGCTTGCTCGGATCTCGACAGTTTTGAATTGGTCGTGGAGACAGCAAATTGCACAGGGTGGAATGCGGCGAAAGCGTGGTTGAGTCGTACGACGGCTCATGTTGTACTTGTTCAAGAACTTCATCTTCTGGGTGACCAGGTTGGCGAGGCCTCTCAGTGGGGCCTCCGCTCAGGCTGGAAGTCCAGGATCGTCCCAGCGGCCCCTGGTATAGGGCTCGGGACCTCTGGAGGCGTGGGCATCTTCGTCAGGGACTTCTTGGGTTGTCATGACGTCTCGGCTAAGGTGGGCCCCACTCTGGTTCCTCATCGTGCAGCCTCAGCTATTGTTCAGATCCCAGGCGGAGTCTCTATCCTTGTGGTCTCCGCGTACCTCAGGGACTCCGAGGGCCTCTCCGAGTCCAATCTGGGTATTTTGTGCAAGCTTGGTGCTGAGTTATCTTCGTTTCCTGGGCCGTTCATCTTGGGTGCGGACTTCCAGATGGAGCCTGACGTTCTGGCTTCATGTGATTTGGTCTCGGTGCTCAGTGCCAACCTGGTCGTTCCTGAATCCAAGGGCACCTGCGCGGGCACGAGCAAGGAAGGAGTCCGCATGCTCGACTATTTCCTGGTTTCCAGTGGGCTCTCGCAGGCCGTGAAGGCCATCCGTGCCTGCCTGGAGGCGGCCACCAAGCCGCACAAGCCCGTGCAGTTGAGCTTCTCCCCTCAGCTGGCCAGCTTGCAGGCTTTGGGGTTTGTTAACCCTCCCCCCATCCCGATCGAGCCCCCTATCGGCCCTGCCCCTGCCCCTCAGGATTGGAAGGATGTCTGAGACTGTGCGTCTTATGGTTTGGGGTTGGTTCGCAGTCGTGTCCCCAGACAGTGCTTGCAGCGTCATCTCAATATGTTGTATAAGTTTTGGGCAGACACGGCTGAGAGAGAGTTGGTCGCTGATCGCCAGTGTTCACTTCCTGTTTTAGGCACCCGTGGCAGGTTGCCCAAGCTTGCATGGCGCTCTGTTCTGGATAAGGATAGGCGCACTTCTCGTCAGCCTGAATTGTACGGAGTTCGATGTCTGGAGAGCACCTTGCGCATTTTCTGCTCGAACCTCGGCTGCGACGTGAAGGGCTCGGCCCTCGACTCTGGCAACTTCCTCCTTCACCCCCCCGACATCATTGCCGACAGCATGGGGGTCTGCCAGGGCAGCTGGGATAAGGTACAACATGTCGTTCAACGGTGTATGAGGTCTAATCCTCCGTCCTGCCGTGGGAAAAGCAACCCTTTCAACTCGATCAAGGGCGACGGTTCAACTGGTTGTATTCCTAGCGATGATCCTCTTGGGGCCGAAGCTTTAGAAGGTTTGATTGATGATGGTGCTAGCATCCTGGACGAGGTTTCGGAGTTCCTGGGTGAATTTTCCATCAAGCAGCGCGATGTGGCGAACAAGTCTTGGAAGTCTTGGATCCTGGAAGGTGTCTCGAAAGGAGCCCGAAGAGCCCATTGGTGGACCAAGGAAGTCGCCCCCTGGACCCCATGTTCTACTCTTTCGGCTAAGGGCGTTGTCTTATCTGATCCCCAAGCTCTTCTTCATTCGGAGGCTGCTCGGTTCAGTGGGTTATGGAAGGCCGCGTCGGAGCCCCCCAAGCAAGAGCCCATCGAGCACCAGGATCCGCTCCCCTTCGAGTCGCCAGACTTGTTGAGAGAAGTTGCCAAGTCGTACCCCACTCGCACGGCCACCAGTGTCGACGGCTTCCATATGCGCCACTATGCTTCTCTCTGTGATGACGCGCTGGTGGCATTACTGAGTATTTTCAGCATCATGGAAGCGTCCTCCCTTTTGCCCAACCACCTGCGTGCCATCATGGTTGCGCTTCTGCCCAAGCCTGCTGGAGGTTGGAGACCCATCGGATTGTTTAGCTCAGCATATCGGTTATGGGGCATGACGAGGAGACCATGCGCAGTCCAATGGGAGGCCAGGTTCAATACATCATATCTCAGTGCGGGAGCTTTCACTGGGGCAGGTGATGTTGTTTGGAGGCAAGCAGTGCGATCGGAACATGCGACTAGCAGGAAGGGTAAGAAGGGTGTTGCGTGCACTGTGTTATGGGTTCCTCACAAGTTTTACGAGGCTATTACGCTCGACATTCTACAGCGGAGGTGTGACGACTTAGGATTCCCTTCTCCTATTTCACGTCTCTGCATGGCGGCCTATAGAGGCCCAAGGTTCATCAACATCAGCGGGATCGTGAAGGGCCCGTTCTTCGCCTGGCAAGGAGTTATTGCGGGAGATTCCTTTGCCGCTACTTTCGTGAGGGTCTACGCCATTCCCACGATTGACCTGCTGCCGCAGAAAGTCCGCGATGCCCTCGATATCTACATCGATGATTACGGGTTGCAAGCGACGGGTTCGGCCAGATTAGTTGTCGATGACATTGTGACGGGGGGCCACTCAACTGTACTCGGTACTGTCGGACGATATGCAGGTGGCTGTTTCAGAGGACAAGGCGTCGGTAATCTGCTCTGATCAGGCTGTCGGCAACAAGACCAGGTCGCTGTTGGAGCATGTGGGAGGACCCTCATGTATTTCTTCTGCTGTAAATCTAGGTGTTGATGACACCGCTGGTCGGCCCCGACGGCAAGCTGGGCGCGGCCGCAAATTCGCAGTTAGGCGCAAACTTGTCAAGCAGAGGGTCGCCCGTCTCAAGAGGTTGAAAGGCATCCTGGGGCAGCGATACTGCAGGAAAGTCTTCGCGTCGGGGCCCCTAGCGGGCGTCGCGTACGGATCGGAGGTCCACGGAGTCTCCGACTACGAACTCCAAGGACTTCGCCAGGGGCTCGGTCGGGTCATGAAACCTTCCGCTGGCATGAGGTCCCTCACTTCCCTGCTCATCCTTGAGAGGGACCCTACTGCTGCCTCTGTTGTTGCCCCAGTTATTCGCTACAGCAAGGAGGTCTGGGCCAACCAGGTTAGGATTTTCAAGTATCCCCTGGATTTCAAGTTCCTGCGCGAAGCCTGGGATACCATCTTCGTCAGGGATCCTGACGATAAGGACCTCTCGTGGCGTACTGTTTCTGGGCCTTTGGGGGCCATGAAGCTCTCTCTGCAGCGTATCCACTGGGGTACGAAGTCTTTCACTGAGCTCATTAATGATTTCGGGGAAACGATTGGGCTCACGTCTTTTTCCCCCTCCCTTGTTAAAAAGCTTTTGGTTGAAGGGGTCCTCCGTCAGCTGCAGAGAGACTCAGGCCAGGCGTTAGGTGTTGGCAAGCGATTGTGCTACGATGTCGGGCTTAGCTGTGGGGCGACCTGGACCAGGGACCGTGCGATCGCCCTGGGCTATCAGCTCGAATCCGATCTCTGCCCATTGTGCTTGGCTGCACCAGACAGCCTCATGCGCCGCCTGTGGTTCTGCCCCTGCGTTCAGGAAGATCGCGACGACCTTGTGAAAGATCGGATCCAGCAAGAAGCTCGGTCGTGCGATCCTTCTGATCCTGCTACCATCCTCCTCTATACTAAGGGTCTGTTCCCACACCCAGGTGACTCGGTTCCCCGTCCTCGTGGTGAAGGAGGTACCCAGACCAGGCGGGAGGGAGAGCCAGATAGGGTCGACACGGCGGTTTCGGGGCATATATTCATGGACGGCAGCTGTCAGAGACATATCATTAAAGAGTTATCCAGAGCAAGCTGGGGTTTTACAGCCCATGCAGACGACGGGTCTAAATTGTTTAGTGCGTTTGGGCCTATTTGGGCCCCCCTCCCCCAGACCAGCCAGGCTGGGGAGTACGGAGCCCTCGAAGCCTCCTCCCAGTGCCTTGTAGGCCCCTCTACTGGGTACTCCGATTGCCTCAATGTTGTTCGTGCCCACGGTGAGCCCCCCGCCACTAAACTGTCCCACAAGAGGCCATACGCGGGGCTCATGTTTTCTAGCTGTTCTTCGTGGTGGCCGGGAACCCTCCACAAAGTCAAGGCCCATGTTGTGGACTCGGACGACCTGTCCGACAGGGACCGATTTTTAAAAATTGGTAATGGTGCAGCTGACGAGGCTGCCAAGGCTGGTCTTGCCACGCATTCTAGGCCCACGGACGCGCAGCAGACCGACCTTACGCATAACATCAGCGTTGCTAAGGCTGTTTGCCGCCTGGCCGCTCGGATTTTGCCGCAGTGGCCTCGTCTCGACCTCAGCGGGGTTGAGCTGGCCAGGCCCCCGAAGAAAATCAACGTGAAACCTGGCACTGAATTTGAGCACGTATGGGAGTGGTGCCGCTCCTATTGGCGTTGTAGCGTTTGCTTGCGCACGAAGCATCCCACGCCGTTCATTTTCGGTAGCTCAGCCAAGCCTGCATGTGAGGGTTGTACTGGCGTTATCCCCGACACCTTGTGGCAGGTCTCGGCCCTCGGACACAGGCTTTTTTCGTTCCAGTGCAGCGATGACTCGCCGCTGCTCGTTTGTGTTAGTTGCAAGGCTGTCTCTACCCTGGGTCCGCTGGCTCTCCTTGGTAAGCAGTGCGGCCGCCCAACCAGAAACAATGCTGAGAGATGGAAGTACAGAATATGTAGGGGTCGGCACCCACGACTTCCAGGTGTGACCGTGGAAATCTCACCAGAGGTCGTGGATGCACACCCTGGCTCGCAGGAAGAAATTGTCGTCGAGACGTCGTCCGTGCATCCTGCGAGCCAGGAGCTGCAGCAGCTTAACTCTGTCGTTGAGTCTTCGTCTGTCGATACCGCTGCTGCAGCAATTTCAGCAAGTGGCCCAAGTGGCCCGCGCTCCTGTGGGCCTGAAGAGCGCCCGTGCAAGTCCGCCCGCACCGCCCTTATGCAGGCTGACACCGTAATGCCTTCCACGGGAGATGGGCAGCAGCGCGAGGATGTCGTCGACCAGTCGTCTGTCGTGCAGGTCGTGGGAGCTGCTGCCTCTCCCCAATTGTTCCACTCGACCCCTGCAGAGCAGGGGTCGAGGATCCGTCCCGCTTCTGTTTCTGGTGCCGATGCTCGGCCCAGCAAGTCCGCTCGACACGCCGCAAGTCGAGCCGAGTCAGTGCAGCAGGCTGTGAATTCTTTTCCCTCGGCTCCCTCCAACGAGAGTGGTGCGAGGGGCCGCGAGCGGAGCTGTGAGGATGGTGCGGAGGGTCCTCGCGCGAAAGCTGCTCGTGTGAGCTACGAGCCCAGAGGAGGCTCGAAATAGCTCGTTGTTGTCGGGGCCCGTGGGTTGCTGCCGAAGTCAGCCACCGCATGAGGTCACCGCTTGCGTCCTAGCCTGAGACCAGGCTAGGAAAAGGTCCAGGTGAAAAATCCTCCCCTCCTCCTGCAGAGACGCCTTGTGTTGATCGGGGGGGGGCGAAGGGGTAGGATAGCAAAGCGCAGGGTAGAAAATCGGCTCACGCAGCTGATCTTCCTGGCGCCTCCTGGCGCCTGGAGGCGCTCATGTATCGAGGACTGGGGCCGTCGGCAGGACCGAAACCAGCTGCATGCAGCAGATTTCGTAACCCCTTGCCCTATCCTACCCTTTCGTCCAGCCCGAGTTGAGGGATCAAACGAACTCAGCCCGCCCTGTGTATGGGTCCTCCGGCCCACCGCCGAGCTTCTTCGAGGCCCGGCGCTCAGCTGGCGAGGCGCGAAAGGGCACGCCCTGCAGCTCGACGGCGACGTACGGCTCCGCGGTGGTGTTCACCTTCGGAGGTCGCCGGCTTCGGTGGCGACTCATGGGACTCCCATGAGTCGCCACCGAAGCCTTCGGCGGCGGCTACCGTACGGGCGGCTCCCATGATGGGAGCCTCCCGTACGGCAGGTTCGTGCAGCGTCGACGCGCGCCAAACAAATTGAAAACGCGTCGATCGTTCAAGCTTAAATCGATCGCGGCCCCGATCGTTCAAGGATGAATTCAATCGGGTCCAATGGCGTTACCGTGTCCATCGGTGCTTCCGCGTCGCAGAATTCACCTTGAACGCCTTCGCCGGCAACTCCGGCAACTCCGGCGCGCCATTGCCGCATGAACCTACCGCACCATCTTGTTGGCTGTTGCGAATCGGCGCTAATCGACGCCAGCCGACGCTAGTCGCCGCCAAATCGACGCTACATCGACGTTACTCGACGCTGAATCAGCGCTGTCCCGTCGACTGCTAGACGCTGATCGACGCTAGTGCACGCTAAGCACGGATACGCGAGGGCACACATGGCTCCCATGATTTCTGGCCATCGCTCGGACGTTCATTCCCTGTGCGTTTTTCGGTTTCGTGCGTGGTTTTTTCGCCGAATGATCAAGGATGCTCCTCGATGGCCCTCGCCGAGAAAACATGTACACGTCCGAGCGATGCCAGGGATTTGCTACCGACCTTCAACTATGCGCCTGCCTTCCTCGCGAGGCTGGGAATATGCTCCGATCCTGGGGCCAGCATGGGCCCGGCCACGATCGGTGCTCTGGGTGTGCAGTGGGCGCCCTCCGGCACCTCGCAGGTGATGCCGCTCGCCACCGGCGGCTCGCACTGCACGAACTCCTTGCGAGGAGCAGGAGCAGGACCCAGACCCCCGACGTCATGATTTCTTCATGACGTCGACCCCCAGAGGTCTGGACCCATTCCCCAGGACCCGTTTTTCATCCTGAGTCGTTTTTCGACGGCCCCGAGGGCCGGGAAGGGCCCCCCCGAGGCCAAAAATCATGAAGAACCTCCCGTCGTGAATTTTTCATAACGCGAGGGGGTCTGGGGAGCACGAGACGAACAGGGACATCCTGGTACGACGTGTCCTCCTCGGAGGCGTGCGTCCGACCCAGAACGATGGCACAAGCATCAGAGGAGAAGCAAGCGATACGGGCTCGCGGGCTTCGGTGCGGGCCGCCTGCGCCACGACCTGATCCTCGTCCTCCTCCCTCCTCCTCCTCCTCCTCCTCCTCCTCCTCTCCCTCCTCCTCCTCCTCCTCCTCCCTCCTCCTCCTCCCTCCTCCTGATCCTTCTCCGCTTTCTCTACGCCTCCTCCTCCTCCTCTGCATCCTCCTCCTGCTTCTCCTTCTCCTCCTCCTCCTCCTCCTCCTCCTCCTCTCCTCCTCCTCCTCCTCCTCCTCCTCCTCCTCCTCCTCCTCCTCATTTCCCGAGCGATACGACCAGACAGCGCACGCCACGGAGCATATACTGCACGATTTCTGAGCGCGCACGCGCGCGTCGCCCCCTTCGCACACACTGTGTGCGTCGCCCGGGGGCCGCTGGACAAGGTCATAATGCCATCTGCCCACTGCCGTATTGAATGCGGCCCCCCTCCCGGAGGAGGAGGTGGAGGAGGAGGAGGAGGAGGAGGAGGATCCGACTGGATATCGATTTCGGCCAGTCCGATCCGATTCCCTGTTCGACCTGCTGGCGACACGCTGCGGCCCAGTGCGTGCGTGGCGCCGGTGTGCATCCTGGCGCGGCCGGTCCGATTCGACTCCGACCCCGCGCCGATGCGGCCCGATCCGACGCAGACGCTGATCCGACCCGAGTTACTGATGCGGCCTCGAGTGCTCTCGGCGGCACCCAAATATGATGATACTGTGTGTGCGCTTGGGAGGTGCAGAGGAGCTCCAGGGCTTTCCGATTTTCGCATCCAAAGGAAGTCGCGCGTGTTGGAAAAAGAAAGCCTTCGGCGCCTTGCGCAGTGCATCAAAGATGTATCGGGACGGGGGGGGCAGCATTCGTGATGGGCCGATTTTCCACCACCATTGCCTTAGATAGGACGCGGGAAAAGGGAGGATGGGGTAGTCCTCCTCCTCCTCCTCCTCCTCCTCCTCCTCCTCCTCTCCTCCTCCTCCTCCTCTCCTCCTCCTCCTCCTCCTCCTCCTCCTCCTCCTCCTCCTCCTCCTCCTCCCTCTTCTTCTCCTCCTCCTTCTCCTCCTCCTCCTCCTCCTCCCTCCTCCTCCTCCTCCTACCTCCTCCTTCCCTCCTCCTCCTCCTGCCCATACCTCCTCCCCGCCTCCTCCTCCTCCTCCTCCTCGTCCTCCTCCTCCTCCTCCTCCTCCGCCTCCTCCTCCTCCTTCCTCCTCCTCCTTCTCCTCCTCCTCCTCCTCCTCCTCCTCCCCTCCTCCTCCTCCTCCTCCTCCTCCTCCTCCTCCTCCTCTCCTCCTCCTCCTCCTCCCCCCCCCTCCTCCCCTCCCCCTACCTCCTCCTCCTCCTCCTCCTCCTCCTCCTCCTCCTCCTCCTCCTCCTGCTCCCTCTCTTCCTCCTCCTCCTCCTCTGCTCCTCCTCCTCCTCCTCCTCCTCCTCCTCCTCCTCCTCTCCTTCTCCTCCCCTTCCCTCCTTCTCCTCCTCCTCCTCCTCCTCCTCCCTCCTCCTCCCTCCTCCTCCTCCTCCTCCTCCTCCTCCTCCTCCTCCTCCTCCTCCCTCCTCCTCCCTCCTCCTCCTCCTCCTCCTCCTCCTCCTCCTCCTCCTCCTCCTCCTCCTCCTCCTCCTCCTCCTCCTCCTCCTCCTCCTCCTCCTCCTCCTCCTCCTCCTCCTCCTCCTCCTCCTCCTCCTCCTCCTCCTCCTCCTCCTCCTCCTCCTCTCCTCCTCCTCCTCCTCCTCCTCCTCCTCTCCTCCCTCTCCCTCTCCTCTCCCTCTCCCTCTCCCTCTCCCCTCTCCCTCTCCCTCTCCCTCCCTATCCCTCCTCCTCCTCCTCCTCCTCCTCCTCCTCCTCCTCCTCCTCCTCCTCCTCCTCCTCCCTCTACTCCTCCTCCTCCGCCTTCGATCAGACTGAAATTGGCCCTGCAAGAGCGAGGAACACCGTGAGGAAGGGCGAGGATCGGGGGCCTCTGGAGCCCGAGGAATGGCCAGCCGAGACAACGGCGGCCCTCCCCAACGGCGCACGTCCTGCGCGGGGCCTCACGAAGGCTTCTCGTCCCCACGGCTGGGTCCGCCGCAAGAAACGGCGCAGGATGGAACCCTGGAGGGAATCTGGGGTTATGCTGTTCCCGTCGTACTTAAAAACCACATCCCACACATAATTTCGAGCGCCCGGAAGAGTGTCGAAACAGTGTCGGACGAGTGTCTCCCAGGGCCCGACACGTGAAAACCATGGAGATTCGGTACTTTACTGGTGCTGGAAAATCGTTCTCGTGATCAAGGCTGTGGAACATCGTAACCCTGGAGGGAGTCTGGGGGCCGATCTCGAGCGCATCTGAGATGGGTGGGGCGGCTGCCGTCTCGAATGGCCCTCCTCTTGCCCTGGGGGCCTCGTGTTTTGCCTCGAGCCCTTCTGAGAAGGCCTCTGCCTACCCCCTGCCTCCAGGCGGATTTTGGGAGACAAATGTTTAAGTAGTCAGACATATTCAAACATAGCGAAACTAGTCAAATAACAAACGTCCCCGTATGTTTTTTCGGGACTATGTTTGGATATTCTTCCTGTAGAGGGACAGGCCCGACTTCATACAAGGCCGCTCCCGCTCCCCTCGCACCACCCCAAGGTGGGCGCCACCAATCCACGTGACAAATACCCAGATCGGCAGCCCCTCGAACTATCGACCCAGTATCCGGGTGTTCTTGCCAATCCTGGAGCCCGAAGCTGGCCTTCAGAGGGGGCGGGGGGAATGACTAACCAGCCGCCTCGACTTGTGTCAGGACGCTGGATGCATGGATTCCTGTGGTAGATGGCCAGCGTCTCCCCGATCCCATCCCGCTTTCCAGTAGCTACATTCTGACTTGTTGCACAAGTGTTGGAGCAACGTAGCTACACCCTTTCGCGCGGACGCAGTCAGCCGTCAGTGTAGCTCAGATGTTTTCATCGTCTGGCTTGAGTGTATCGACTTGATCGGCGTCCCCCGATCCTGCTGCAACTTTCTTCTACGAGAACGGCGCCCATGCACATCGCCATGCTTGGATTCCCTTCCGGCTCCGCTCCAACGCGGCACGGTGCATCGCTTTTCGGCCCCGAGGGTCGACAAACTATGCACCGTACCATCCCTGGCTCCAGGGTCGACGACAGTTCTCTTCAGGCTCCGCTCCAGCGCGGTACGGTGCATAGATTTTCGGCCCTGAAAGTCGACAAAGTATGCACCGTACCGTCCCTGGGTCCAGCCCTGAGGGCCGATAAACTATCAGCCCCCGCGCGCACATAGACCGACCTCAAGAGCTGAAACGCCGCCCAAAACGAAAACCAGGTCTGCCCAAAGTCGCGCCCAAACAGTTGCCCAAAACGCAACCCGAAGCGTAAGACAGGTTCTACCCATCATTATTTCCGGGACACGCGATGCTTTCTTGCACCAGGGCTGCATCGCATTTTCTCGCACATGTTTTGGGCGGGACAGGTTGGGCAGCATGTTTGGCAACGTGTTGGGCAGCACTTCGGGGAGTAGATTCGGCCGCAGCGTCCCTGCATCGTAGACGGCGCGTTCGGGGCTGTTTTGGCTGGGCCCTACTGGAGTGTGGGGGGGGGGCTTCTGGGGCCCAAAAAATCAACGAGTCGACACCGAATGTGGAAACACTTCCGATGGTTTTTTCGGGGGGGCACTTTCAGCGCGACAGCGGGCGTCATTGTGGGGCCGCGCCTGGGGGGCGCCCGAAAACTAAAGAACGCACCATCGACGACGCCTCATGAGACGCCAGTGCGGTACGGTGCACAGAGATCGCTCGCGGATCTTCTCAAAAAGGGCCCAGGGAGACACCAGAAAAAACAATTCCTCCCCCTTTTCCACTTCCAATATCTGGGCAGGGACCCATCGTCCCAGCATTCCTACAGGCCTACCACGACATGTTCTTAGAATCCAAGAATGCCCCAAAAACAAAAATAGTGTTCTTAGAGCATGAGCCCGGTGTGTTACAACAAGACCGTCCCAGCCAGAAATGTTACAAGAGCTTTCCCCGCAGACCACAAGAGGTTATTCTAACATTATTTGGTGGGCCTGTAGGCCCGACATAACCAGCCTCAAACGTATCCCTAGCCCTAAGATGGGCGAGCAAAAAGCGATGACAATCTTGGGGATATGCCCTCAAAAACTGAGGGGATCCTTGAGATCGGCATCGAGGTGAGGTGATGTCAAACATAGGGATAGGGAGATGCTTCAAACTGGTAACGACAGGATGCCTCGCCACTGCTTCCAAGATTTGTCCTGTGCAGCGGCGCTGCTTTGTGTCTGCGCCCCTGTGTCCCTCGCGGCTCCGCGCGCGGAGGTCCCTCGCGGGGGAGCGCCAGCGGCGGAGGGCACCCCGCACGCTTCCCCCGGGGCGCAGGGGTCCCCTGGGCCTTGGCTTAGAGGTCGGGCATGTCCCCCCTACAGTGGGCTCTTGGAGGATCATTTTTTGTTTAAAAAATTAGCCCGGCGAAGGACCCAACCATATGCAGTTGTGAATGCCGCAATTGTGTTGGTTGGTGGCGGACGCATGCGGGCGGTGCCACTGGGACCTTCGGTGGAGCTCCCTATGGGGCCACGAAACGCTGTACTGGGTGGGTGAGACGCGGTCAGCAAGGGCTGTGCTGCGTGGTGGCGGACGCATGCGAGCGGTGCCGCTGGGACCTTTGGTGGAGCTCCCTATAGGGCTACGAAGCGCTGTTCTGGGTGGGTGAAACGCAGGCAGGGAGCAAGGGCTGCGCAGGGTGGTGGCGGACGCATGCGGGCGGTGCCGCTGGGACCTTTGGTGGAGCTCCCTATAGGGCTACGAAGCGCTGTTCTGGGTGGGTGAAGCGCAGGGAACAAGGGCTGTGCTGGGTGGTGGCGGACGCAAGCGGGCAGTGCCACTGGGACCTTTGGTGGAGCCCCCTATGGGGCCACGAAACGTGCGAGGGGTGTGCCAGAATGGGGTGTGGAACCGCATGCCAGCGCAGCCACTGGGGCCTTCGGTGGAGCTCCCTATGGAGCCACGAAACGTGTGAGGGGTGTGCCGAAATGGGGGGCGGAACCGCATGCGAGCGCAGCCACTGCGGCGTTCGGTGGAGCTCCCTATGGGGCCACGAGACGTGTGAAGGGCGTGCCGAAAAAGGGGTGGAACCGCATGCGAGCGCAGCCACTGGGGCCTTCGGTGGAGCTCTCTATGGGGCCACGAACCGTGTGAGGGGTGTGCCGAAATGGGGGGGGGAACCACATGCGAGCGCAGCCACTGGGGCGTTCGGTGGAGCTCCCCATGGAGCCACCCACGAAGCGTGTGAGGGGTGTGCCGAAATGGGGGGTGGAACCGCATGCGGGCGCAGCCACTGGGGCCTTCGGTGGAGCTCCCTATGGGGCCACGAAACGTGTGAGGGGTGTGCCAGAATGGGGGGTGGAACCGCATGCGGGCGCAGCCACTGGGGCCTTCGGTGGAGCTCCCTATGGGGCCACGAAACGTGTGAGGGGTGTGCCAGAATGGGGGGTGGAACCGCATGCGGGCGCAGCCACTGGGGCCTTCGGTGGAGCTCCCTATGGGGCCACGAAACGTGTGAGGGGTGTGCCAGAATGGGGGGTGGAACCGCATGCGGGCGCAGCCACTGGGGCCTTCGGTGGAGCTCCCTATGGGGCCACGAAACGTGTGAGGGGTGTGCCAGAATGGGGGGTGGAACCGCATGCGGGCGCAGCCACTGGGGCCTTCGGTGGAGCTCCCTATGGGGCCACGAAACGTGTGAGGGGTGTGCCAGAATGGGGGGTGGAACCGCATGCGGGCGCAGCCACTGGGGCCTTCGGTGGAGCTCCCTATGGGGCCACGAAACGTGTGAGAGGGTGCCGAAATGGGGGGTGGAACCGCATGCGGGCGCAGCCACTGGGCCTTCGGTGGAGCTCCCTATGGGGCCACGACACGTGTGAAGGGCGTGCCGAAAAAGGGGGTGGAACCGCATGCGAGCGCAGCCACTGGGGCCTTCGGTGGAGCTCCCTATGGGGCCACGAAACGTGTGAGGGGTGTGCCAGAATGGGGGGTGGAACCGCATGCGGGCGCAGCCACTGGGGCCTTCGGTGGAGCTCCCTATGGGGCCACGAAACGTGTGAGGGGTGTGCCAGAATGGGGGGTGGAACCGCATGCGGGCGCAGCCACTGGGGCCTTCGGTGGAGCTCCCTATGGGGCCACGAAACGTGTGAGGGGTGTGCCAGAATGGGTGTGGGAGGGGGAGGAGGGGGGAGGAAGGGGAGGATGAGGAAGGAGGAGGAGGAAGGAACGCGGGGCGACGTCTCTTCAAAACGAGGACCCAACACCACAGGATGGTTGGGAAAAAACACCCAGAGGATGCTCAGAGATATCCACAGAACGCTCCAAAAATGGTCCCTGGACTATCGTTTGGGCTATTTTTGGATATTCCTTCTGCCGAGGGGCCCCGGAGCAGGCAAACTGCTAAAAGCCAGGTTTTCATTCTAAAACTGTAATCGGTATGATAACGTATGACTTCGGCGAGTCTGGGAACTTTGAAGCAGTGTGCACTCGGCGTCTGGTGGCTGCCGCCAAAGTCCGTGGCGGCAGCCACCAGACGCGGAATGCACGCTGCGGTACCAGTCATGGCCGATGATCCTCGCAACGTGTGTTACAGTGGAGGCCCGACCACAAGACACCTCCCACAAGAAACGCAACCCTGAGACCCCAGGACGTCCATTGATCTCTGGCGTGGGAACGCCACGCCTTCCACATGAGAACCATCGAAACCCAAGAAACCCATGGCACCCTGGAGATAAGCAGGGTGTTTCTTTGAAGGGGCCCTGGGGCACACAAATAAATACACAACAATAAAAATATTCCCCATATTTTCCCATATCTTTTGAATTTTTGTCTTCCCCCCACTTCCCATATTTCCCCATATTCTCCTGGGAGTCGACGATTCAATGTGTCTGTGTGTTTCTTTCCCTTCTGATTCTTGGCATGGACCTCCACCGTGGCGCAGACGCATGCGTGGCCACCGAAGCCCTCCAATGTGAAGCCGGCGGTGCAGTGAGGGCCGGCACGGGCTGCGCGCCGTCGGCGGAGCGGGCCCGAGGAGCACCGAATCAGAGCAGGCAGTGTGGGCAAGCGCGCTGTCTGCAACATCGTCGAAGAAAACCCGGCAGAACGCAGAGAGGTGCACACACACATTCACACACACACATTCACACACACATACACACACACACACACGCACAGACAAACACATAACACACACATTCACACATTCACACATTCATACACACAAACACATTCACATTCACATTCACATTCACATTCACATTCACATTCACATTCACATTCACATTCACATACACACATACATACACATTAACACACACACACACACAAACACACACAAACACACACACAAACACACGCGCACACACACACACACACGCGCGCGCGCACGCACGCACGCACGCACGCACGCACGCACGCACGCACGCACGCACGCACGCACACGCACAGAGATTTGGCGTCTGCTCCATGGGAGCCTACGTGCCCCCCGGCGCTGTCCGATGTGGGTCCGAATTGGATCGGATCTGGAACGCACTTGGAAACAGACTTGGAGCGGATCCGCCCCCTCACGAGGGAGACAGGAAGAACGAGGAGTGAGAGGAGCAGCAGGAATGGGGAGGAGGAGCACGAGGAAGAGCCACACGCGGCCCAAATGCAAGAACAGCGAGTTCCAACGTCGCCGCCCGAGGCTCCCATGGACAAGCATCGAACACGGGGATCCCACCGATCCTGCTCCAGCGGAGACGACGAGAGCCCCGTCAGGAAGCGGCCCAGGACGTCCTCGGCGCGGCGAGTAGGGGTCTGCCCTCCGAGGGGGCAGGGAGCTTCTCACTCAGACCTCCTCCTCCTCCTCCTGCTGTTCCTCCTCCTCCTCTTCCTCCTCCTCCTCCTCCTCCTCCTCCTCCTCCTCCTCCTCCCCCCCTCGCGCCGATGAAAAACCACTACGTCCAAGCCCAAGGGGAGGGAGGGCCCCCTGGAGCCAGCCGGGCGAACAGACCCGCAAAGGCCAGAGCTTGCGCACAAAGTGTTGCACCCTGCGGGGCCTCCGGGGGGCGCCCCCGCTCGCCGCCACAGCTGCATTATCCTCGGAACTCTGGTCGGAGAGTCACTCGACGGTGCACCGCGTATGTATCTTCTTAAGGGAGCAAAACAAGTGACATAAACATAAAAACTCGGAGGTCCGCGCGGATTTCTCGGATCGGCACTGGACCCCCCTGGCGGCGCCTCCGGCGCCGCCCCTGGTGCGCTCCGCGCGCCAGGGAGGGAGGTCCAGCGCCGATCCGAGAAATCCGCGCGGACCTCCGAGTTTTTATGTTTATGCCATTTTTTGTTCCCCTACTTCTGCCCTTCCAGCTGCTTGCCTCGCCGGGTTGCTATCCGAACGCAGCGCGAAGTGGCGGACCTTCTACGGACACATGAACCATTGCCCCTTGCCATAACCAGCCGGAACACATCGCACCAGGCCAGAGTTCTGATCTCGAGGCCCAGCCACCCCAAACCACGGCGTCGGCCTGCACAGTAAGCTTGCCAAGTTGGATCGGTAGAACTGGCAGGCCAACGGATAGCTCCGGCGCGTCACCCGGACAAACTTCTGGGGTTCGGTTGTGGGCGCCCCCCCCGGCTTCTGGGACGGGTCTCCCCTTCTGCCAGGCACTGCCAGGGGGGGGCCACTGCTTGGGGAGGTCATGGAGTCATCAGAAGGCAACCCTGACACGTGAAAAAGAGCTGGGCGCCAGGCCTCGGTCCAGTCCCGTGAACGAGCACATGTTTTCAAGGCCGACTAGGGGATATGGAGACACCTCGTCGCTCAGTGATTCGCCGCCCAGCCGAGGTGGCACCCTTTTCCGGCCATCGACCCTGCCAAATCGACTAGCGAGAGCCACTGGGCTGGTTCCCCAGGGTGAGCGGACACAAGGCACAAGCCCCAGGCTCCAGCATATTTTCCCATACTTTCTGGGTTCTCGTCTTCCCCCCCACTTCCCATATTTCCCAAACTTTTCAAAAAGGAATCGACGATTCATTGTGTCTCTATGTTTTTGTCCCTCCTGGCTGTCTCCCTCCCTGAAGCCGCGTGGACTGACTGGCAGTACCCCAGCGTCGTAGGACCTAGCACCAGGACGCGCTGCCCAACCGAGCAACGACTGCCCCCCCCCCCGAGGCGGGGAGCCACCACTGTGTGGGGGGGGGGAGTCGCCGCCTCCTCGACGAGAACGATCCCTCCGAACCCCTAGCCCCCCCGAACTCTCCCAAACATTCAAAGCATGTGTATGTAGGTCAACGACCAAATAATCGAACCTACACAGTAACGCGCATGCAGAGGTGAGACAGGAAGAGGGTAGCTAGTCCTTTTTCCAGGGCGCTGCGATGAGGGCAGCGCGGTACGTTGCACCAGTGCCTGAGCCGATACGTTAGCGGTATGTAATGCTATAGGGGTGATATGAGCAGACTTCACACACAGAACATGGCCCAACGTCCCCCAGCCTCGAGCCCCAGGAGGAACGGGCGACCCCCTCGGTGGTGCCTGACGCTTCTGGGGAGCCTCCCTGCCTCCTCGGGAGGCCGCCTCCCCCTCGCCCGTGCCAGTCCACTCACCGACTTCCCAGGGGCACCTCCTAGGGTCACTCCCGACGCGTTTTTCGACGAAGGAGACATGTCATACACATGGACTTTAGACGCTCCGCGCGGATTTCTTGGCTCTGCCCTGGGGCCCCCCTGGCGGCGCCTCCGGCGCCGCCCCTGGCGCGCTCCGCGCGCCAGGGAGGGGGGGGGGGTTCAGCACAGATCCAAGAAATCCGCGCGGACCTCCGAAAGTTCATGTCTGTGCAGCATTTTGTCCCCCAAGCTTCGCGAGGCCGGACACCAGCCCACGCCCACGAGGGCCCTCCCAGGAGGACCGTGGTGGGCTACTTCTCCACCGCCACCACCGTAAGTAGGAGGAGGAGGGGGTAGACTTCCTCATCCTCCTCCTCCTCCTCCACCTCCTCCTCCTCCTCCTCCTCCTCCTCCTCTTCCTCCTCCTCATTCCCCCCTTCAACTTAATGGTGGTGGTGGTGAAGGGAAGCAGGCCCATCAGCCCAAGAAGGGAGAGAGCCGCACGCGTCGCCAAAGTCCAGAGCCGTGATCGCGAGCACGTCGCCGACGGCTACGCCGGGGAGCCTCGGCGATGCGCACACGGGGGGCGGCGCGGGGGGCGGCCTGGTCCAAGAAGGCGGGGGGGGGTTCTTAGGAGGAGGAGGAGGGGAAGGAGGAGGAGGAGGAGGAGGAGGAAGAGGAGGAGGAGAGGGAGGAGGAGGAGGAGGAGGAGGAGGAGGAGGGGAGGAGGAGGAGGAGGAGGAGGAGAGGAGGAGGGGGAGGAGGAGGAGGAGGGGGAGGAGAAGGAGGAGGAGGAGGAGGAAGAGGAGGAGGAGGAGGGGAGAGAGGAGGAGAGGAAGGGGAGGAGGAGGAGGGGAAGGAAAGGTAGGAGGAGGAGGAGGAGGAGGAGGAGGAGAGGAGGAGGAGGAGGAGAAGGAAAAAGGAGGAGGAGGAGGAGGAGGAGGAGTTCGAGGAGAGAGGAAGAGGAGGAGGAGGAGGAGGAGGAGGAGGAGGAGGACGAGGAGGAAGAAGGCGTGCGACTTCTTAGACGGGCTGTCATAGAGAGAGGCCTCTAAGAAGGCCCCCCCTTACGAGCCAGGAAGGCTTCCAGGAAGCCCCCCCTGCCCTCTCCGAAGGCCCCCGCCGCCTTTTCTGGAGGCGGCCCCTCCTCGTACCACCCCCTCGCACGCGCCGCGAACTTTCGTCCGACCCGACGGGTCGGGTCGAACGAGAGGAGCCGCACCTCGGGCGCCTGCCCGCCGCTCGGAACGGTGCGGGTGTGCTCTGGGCGAGGCGCAGCTGCTGGAGCGCGCCCCGAAGCAGACAGCCCGCCAGGAACCGACGAACACGTCAGAAGATTGTCAAGCCCAAAGCCGGGCCCTACCCAGACACCTCGGCCCGAGAAGCCCCGACCCCCTTCCGTGGGGCCCATGCTTCGCCTTAGGATTCGCGTCGGCCTGCGGAACGAGTCATATCTTCAGACGAGCCTGGGCTTCTCTCAGACTGCATTCTGGCCAAACTGTCGACGGGAATCCAGCCGTGGCGACGAGGGCCCTCCAAGGCAAGCGGCGGTATCGGTGCCTCTCCTCCTCCGAGATGCTGGGCCTACCCTCTCCTCCAGCGACGCACTCTGCTCGTGACGCCGGGCCCCCAGGGACCTCGACCCCTTCCCCGTGGCTGTCTTTCCATTCTTGGCGGCGCGCGGAGGGGGGTAGGGGGAGGGGGGAAGGCTTGTTTAGGAGGAGGCTGCTTCTTAGAAGGCGCGGGCCTTACATCTACAGGCAAGGCCTGTGCCTTCCAAGAAGCAGTGGCGCTTCTTAGAAGCCTTCCCCCATCCCCCTACCCCCGTCTGCGCGTGGTCGACATCTGCGAGGCGGGGATGTATCCACATCCACCGACTGGGAACCGACGTCCTGGTGCCCCAGCGGGCGGTGCATATGGATATATTTGGGCCCCCGGACGCCCGAATATATCCAGATCCACCGCCTGCCGAGGTCTCCAAAAATTGACCCTCCAGGCGGTGGTCGTGTGTACGGCAGGTTCGTGTCGTGCCGACCCCAGCGTTGGTTTTTGACACCGCAGGGATCGTTCAACCTTGAACGATCGGCCGCTGCCGCAACGTCCGATCGTTCAACATCGATCGATTCTGGGTCGCCGGCGGCGTTCAACCTTGAACGCCCGCGCTGGGGTCGCCGCTGGTCGACACGACACTAACCTATACCGTAAATTCCCGCCTCGGAACATCCTCAGCCGTTCGTTGACGGCCCCGGGTCTGGGAGGAGGCTCCCAGGGGCCGACCGCGACGAGCAAGCACCGGCCGCCCCGAGCTGCCTCTTGCAACGCCCGGATGTGACGGGGGAGGGTCGGCCCAGCCTGGGCTTAGGGTCGGGCGTGTCCTCCTGCAGGCGGATTTTGGAGGACAGATGAACAGTAGTCAGCAGGTGTTCCAGAAGAGTCGAGAACAGAGTAGGAGCCCGCCCACAAGAACCCTTCCACAAGAAACCCAACCCTGAGACCCCAGGACGTCCACTCACTCCTGGCGTGGGAAAGGCACGCCTTCCTCAGCCAACCCATCGAAACCCAAGAAACCCAGGGCACCGTGGAGACAAGCAGGATGTTTTTTGGTATGGGCCCCCACTGCAGTCGAACATCGTCCCCAGGCTATGTTGAAAATTGCTTTTCGATACCTGTAGAATGTTGCGCCCGACTTGGGCATGGCCTCCTATAGGCGGATTGTGGAGGACGAATAGTCATTAACCAACAAAGTGTTCCAGAATAGTAATAAATAGTACATCCTCCCCAGACTATGTTTGATTATGTTTGAATATACCTCCCGTGGAAGGACACGCCCGACTTCAGCCTGGGCCGCTTGTGACAGCGCGCCGCCGGGAACCGCGCGGTGTACGCCACCGACCCCACGGACACGTCGTCGCTGGGGAAGTCGGCGGCGCGCCGCCGGGGGCACGCCGGGGGCAGCGCGGGCAGCGCCTCCACGAAGGGGCGACGCTGGCACCTCGCGTGCGGCGGTCGTGTATCTCCATTCGGGCGGACGGCAACGGGAACAACACACGTTTAAGAGAGGGCAGAGAATCCACCCAAATCATAACCACCCCGACACGCGAAGCCGTTTAGTGAACGCACCCCAAAAAGGAATCAAACAGGACAGGGCTTTTTAATAAACTCCCAGGGCTGTTTAATAAAAACAGATTGCCCAATCCGGGTGGTTTTTCCTCCCTTGTTTAAATTATCGCGCTACCATGTTTAAAACAAACCCTCCTGAATGGGGTCGGAATAGATGGGGTGTGTATATATATATATATATATATATATATATATACATAATTTCCACGTCTGGGCTTCCTACATGGGGTCGGGGTACATGGGGTCGGGGAATCGCGCCGCATCGCCGAAACATCGGCGATGCATCGTCGCTGCGCCAGCGATGCATCGTCGACGTGGGCGATGCTTCGGCGACGTCGGCGTGGGGAAGCACGGGCTCCGCATCGAGCCGCATCGCCGATGCATCAACGATGCGGCGCGATCCTCCGACCCCATCTACTCCGACCCCATGTAGGAGGCCTCGGCATGGAGAGCGGTGAACAAGGAACGACAGGGCTTCTCTGGCCACGGCGAGAGACTCGGCCACGAACGGGTACCCCGACCTGGATCGGAAGAACGGTCCAAGCAAGAAGCAAGCCCTGCTTGAGGCCAAAGTGGTCATGATGGCGGCGTCTTGACTGTGGGGGGACCGAAGATTCCAGGACAACAACCCGAAAACGACCCTGAACGGCCACTCTGCTGGAACCGCGGGTCGACGAATTTCAGGAACGGTGCACGCTTCGTCACCCTAAACGCCCTATCCGCACCCTGGCTGTCTGGACTCCCGTGCGCGATCCCGTGGATATGCGGTCGCATGGGCACTGTCACTGAGACCTTGGCTGCGCATATATGTCTAAGTAGGTCGAGTTTACCGTGGCTCGTGTCGTGGACCCTCAAAGATCGACCAGGCTGGAAACATGCAGCAGCTAACTGCGAACTGAAAGCGCAACAAGAAAGGCGAACGTCTGGGAGACATGGCCTTTGCTTTCGCCTTTTCTGGAAAAGGGGCTGTGCTCTCCTTGATGACTTGACGCGCCTTACGGGTAGGACGTCGCATGTTTCTGCGCCGCTCTCGTCAAACAGTCTTCATCTGCCAGAACAGTTGAGCATCTATGTGGGCAGGGCTGAAACCTTGGAGCTCGGATGCTTGGTCGTTGGCTTCTTCGCCTGTGTCCGAGCTTGTGCAACAGGAGGTCCCGCTGTCGTAGTCAACCCCATGCGCGGGCGCCCGCGCGGCGGCGGGGTAATATGTTGCCTGCGGCGGCGCGGCGCTCTGCGACCGGCCAGTATCGTAAATCTGGGCGCCTCCTGTTCCAGGAGGCTCGGCGGAGCTGGCAGCCCAGGAGTCGGGACCCTGAATGTACCAGGGATCATGCGTATGTTTGCTGTTGTCATTGGCCATGCCCACGAATCCTCCGAACGATGGCGGCGTGCGGATAGAGCTGGCGGTGTTGTTTGGTGCGCGTTCCACGATGTGATCCACGCGCCTGAGCATAGACGTGAGACTGTTGAAGTCGGCCTCTGTGGCTGGGTATCGTCTGCCGTATGGCTGGAGCAGCGTCACGACTTGGCTAGCTGCGACAACGGCCGCTCGGAGGAGCAGCCAGCTGTAGCCTTCCCATAACATCGCAGCTCCACTGTTGTGCGTAGCTCGGGATCGTAGCGGAGAGCAGGTCGTCGGTGCTGTCGCTGCGTCGCCTCGATGATTCGAAGAGTTCGCGGGTTGCCTGGAAGTGCGACTCATCGCCTAGTGGGCTGACGTGGCGAAGTTCGCGATGAGGAGGTCACGGCGTCCTCTTGCTGGCCGCTGACCATGCTTCCGTCCGTCATCTCCGTGAAGCTCATGGAGCGTGTGAGCTCGCGAGCGTACCCACCGAGGTTGAGGATGACGGCAGCGCATTGCTGAGCGCAGAACATGTCGGTGGCCAGCACGCCCCGACCGACTGGCGCTCGGGTGACCATGAGAGAAGCTGGCGGGATGTGATGGCACCGCGGCTGCCGCCGCCCTGTGGACCGGCTCCACAAGGCATCATGCCGGTGAGCCAGGACAGGGAGGCCATGAAGAACAAGAGGATGCTGCCCCAGAGCGACAAGATGGATATCCTCCTCGATGAGGCCTCACCACGGTGATGGCTGCGTAGGCGCCTTGGGACTCGGGCCTGCGCAGGGACGAACGCCATGTCGAATTGCGGGGCAACCGTGATGATGTCGTTGTCAACCTTGGTCGAAGCCGAGGTCGGTGAAACAGGTACATCGACTTGCCAGTGTTCCACGCGGGTGGTGCGATGTGTTCCCAAGGACAGCCATCACTATCGCACACGTACCGAGGCACGGCGATAGCCCTGGATGGAGCCTCGCAGTCATGCCCGACGCGAATTTGCGGCCAGTGCTTGTGGGGTTGCAATGGGTCGGGGAACGTCGTAACGTTCCTGTGGGCGAATCGTTCCTCATCGCGGTTACGTCTTCTGCTGTTGCCCTCGCAATCGGACCAGATGTCCGAAGCGAATTGTCAGTTAGCTTGCAGAGCAGCCATGAGCACAGTCTACGCAAGGAAGGGAGGGTGGTAGATACCCATGCGGAGGTGAAGGTAAAGGCGAATGTGCGTACGCACCGCACTCTTCGGACGTCCCGTGGATTGAGACCTGGGATCGCTTCCGACTCCGCTAGAAAACTGGAATCGCGGGGGCTGGAAGCGATACGGGAGAAAACATGGCGGCAATCAGATGTGCATTGCGGGGTTTCTACTCTTCATACACTACGTAAATCTGCGTCGGCGCTCGGGCCAGACAGCGGCGACCATTCCTATTTGAGTGAGAGAGAGAGAGAGAGAGGAGAACAGGAGGAGGAGGAAGAGGAGAGGAGAATGGAGGAAGCGGGGGGAGGAGGAGAAGGGGGGAGGAGAAAAGGAGTAGAGGAGAAGAGGAGGAGAGGGGAAGGGAGAGGAGGAAAAGAAAGAAGGATGAGGATAATAAGAGAGAACAGGAGGAGAAGGGATAAGAGAAGGAGGAGGGAGAGGGGAGTAGAGGAGGAGAAGGGTGGAGGTAGACAGAGCCAAACAGAGGAGAAAGGCCAAACAGGGGGAAGAGGAAGAGAAGGGAGTAGAGGAGACGGAGGAGGAGGAGGGAGGAGGCATGATGGAGGGGGAGGAGACGGAGTAAGAGGATACAGGGGAGGGGGTAGGATAGAGGAAGAGGAGGAGGAAGAGGGGGAAGAGGAGGGAGGAGGAGAGGAGGAGGAGAAAAGGAAGATGAGACGGAGGACGGCGTGAGCGACGACGGGGCGCGCGAGCGTGAGCGGCGAGCGGCGCAATACGCGTGAGCGCCGACGGGGACGCGCTGAACGAGTGCTCGCTGGCCGCCTCCCCCTCCTCCTCCTCTCCTCCTCCTCCTCCTCCTCCCTCCTCCTCCTCCCTCCTCCTCCCTCCTCCTCCTCCTCCTCCTCCTCCTCCTCCTCCTCCTCCTCCCTCCCTCCTCCACACTACACCCTCCTCTGCATCCCTCCTCCTCCTCCTCCTCCTCCTCCTCCTCCTCCTCCTCCTCCTCCTCCTCCTCCTCCTCCTCCTACACCCTCCTCCTCCTCCTCCTCCTCCTCCTCCTCCTCCTCCTCCTCCTCCTCCTCCTCCTCCCCCTCCTCCTCCGCCTCCTCCTCCTCCTCCTCCTCCTCCTCCTCCTCCCAAGGGGCCCCGCCCGCGAGGCCCGGCCCTGGACATGGACGTGTGCCCCGCCCACGCAGCACCGGCGGCCCGCGCCGCGCTCCACTGCGCCGTCCAGGGCGGCGCTCAGCGCGGTCAGGACCCGTTCCTCTTTGTAGGGGGCCACATGCGAAACCTACCCCTACCCCCCACGATTTCTGAGGGGGAGGGGGGTGGGGTTCACTTCGTTCGGGAGCTCCCGAGCGAAGTGAACCCCACCCTCCCCCTCAGAAATCGTGGGGGGTAGGGGTAGGGTTCGCATGTGGCCCCCTACTTTGGGGACCGCTTCGTCGTTGTTGTCGTCGTCGTCGTGGTCGTCGTCGTCGTCGTCGTTGTTGATTTGAGCTGGTTTCTGTCTGTGGCCCCGTACGCGTCGAGGGTCCATGCACGGTGCGGTGACAGACCGTGCGGTGACCTAGAGATCCCAAGAGACCTCGCCGCACAGTCCGTCACCGCACTGTTTTGGGACCCTGAAGACCCCAATCGCCAGAGACATTTTCGGAGAACGACCCATGTCCCAAAACCGTGCGGCTTGTGGTCGCCACACGGTGTGGTCACCACAATGTATGAGGACTCCCGTACCTTTCGGGCAAATCTCCGACAATATGTTTTGTCTTCAGTCCCTTTGCTTTTCTTCGATGTCAGACTCTGCGGCCCATCATCGGGCCCTGGGACCATCAAATATCCATCTGGGACGGGAAATGTTCTCCCGGGTAGGGGTAGGGACCTGCGGGCCGCACATCGGACAAATAAGAGCGTCAAACGTCTTGGTATCCAACGTTTTAGAAAACATCAACACGTGATGTGTCACCAATTCCCGCCTCTGGGGGCCCTCACGGGTCCTGGGGACCGTCAACAACAGCGCCGGGCCCTCGCATATCGATTCGGCTCGAGCTGCGCTACAAGAATATATGTTCTACAACTCCAGGCTGTTCGCGATATTGCATTTTGTTCGTGATGTCTGATCTCAGGATGGAGACGAAATAGACTAGGAGGCAAATCCTGAGAATTACTTCCTACATAGGGTCTAGCGGCGACAAGGGCCCATTAATCCAGATTTTGGGGCTCCCGAGCCACATGTTGTCACACTACGCCAAGACTTTGGTGAGCGAATCAGGCCTGATGAAGCGAGACCTACACCAGTGCTTAGTGGGCCCTGGAAACGACAGGGCCGTTTTTCTTACCGGTTCCGTTTTGCAGTTTTTTTCCAATTCCGACGCCGTTGTTTTACCGGTTCCGTCGCCGTTTCTTGACCGGTTCCAGCTCCGGTTCCAATCCTGGTGACGCTTTTGTTGCCGTTTCGGGTCGCCATTTTTTTGCCGTTTCTGGTTTCAAGGGACCTTTTGTCGGAAACGGTGAAAAAACGGCCCTGCCGTTTCCGGGGCCCACAAAGCACCAGTGGACCACGGGCCCATGCTCAATCCAGCTCCCCGAGACCTGCAACCTGCAGCTGGCACTGTCAAAAGGACGGCACCGCACCGCCCCCACGCACCCGCGACGCCGGGATGCAGACGGCCAGGCCCTCGGACCGCCCCGCCTCGCCGAGGAGGGGGCGACGCGGCGCGGCCCTCGGACCCGGGCGGCTCCGCCCCGATCTGGGCGGCCTGTACAATCGGGGCGTTGACCTAAGGAAACCTAAATAAGGAACGAGGCCCTTTTTTTCCATAGATTAAACTTCGATTTCCTATCGGAGACATCAGGAAAACCTGAGGCAAGCTGTGAAACACTTAAGGAGCGCGGAGCCCCTCCCCAACGAAAAGGGTTCCTTCTTCAGCGCCCCGACTGTATTCCTTTTCTTATTCTCTTGCACAGCTGTGCTTTAGAGCTCGGACCTCTTTATTTTCGTTCGTCGTCGTGCGTTCGTTCGTCGTTCGTCCTCCCCCCCACGGCCACAAAAGTAAACTCCTGGAGGGAGGAGGCGAAAGACTCCTGTCTCTAGCAGCTCCTCGGTGCAAGAGCCAGGGCACGCATGCCACTTGTATTTTTGCAAGCCAGGGGGGGGGGGGGACGACGCCCTCCCCCCCTCCCCCCCGAACTGGACCCCCAAGATCGGGGGCTTCCGGGCCCCCCAGACGGCCTTGCCCAAGGTCCCCGGGCTCGTCCCGGACCTTCCAGGGCGCATAGCTGGGTCCTGCCAGCAGGCCCCAAGCGATCAGAGCGGTGATGAGAAAGGCCGAAGAAAAACCCAAAACAGCACAAGAGCGTTCCAAGAAGGACCCAGATGGCCTCCAGAGACTCCCAGGACGGCCCATGAGGCCCTCAACAAACAGGACTCCCAGAACGCCAACATCGCTTCATTCCTTCAGGAAAACGTGCGTTTTCAGAAGATTCGCTGTTCGGGTCTCGGCAGCAACCGAAACAGCCAAGAAAGCCTCCAGTTTCGCTCCAAGACAACCTCATAGACCCCCAAAGGACCCTCTAGACGGCCTGGATGGCCCCAAGACTGCCCAAGGAAGCCCCAAGTGAGCCAAAAAGAAGCCCAACAGGCTCTCACAAGGCCGCCAAGCGATCAGAGCGGTGATGAGAAAGGCCGAAGAGAGAGAGAGAGAGAGAGAGAGAGAGAGAGAGAGAGAGAGAAAAAAAAAAAAGAGAGAGAGAGAGAGAGAGAGACCCAAGACACACAAGAGCGCTCCAAGAAGGACCCAGATGGCCTCCAGAGGCTCCCAAGACGGCCTGGGAAACACTCAACAGGACACCCAGAACGCCAACATCGCTTCATTCCTTGAGAAAAACATGCGTTTTCAGCAGATTCGTTGTTCGGGTCCTGGCAGCGTCCGAAAAGCGCCATGAAGGCCTCTGGTATCGCCCCATGACGGCCCAAGAGACCTTTAAGAGAGCCTCTAGACGGCCTGGATGGCCCCAGAACTGCCCAGAGAAGCCACAAGTGAGCCAAAAAGAAACCCAACAGGCCTTCACGAGGTCCCCATGAAAAGCCCAAAAAGGCCATGGGATACCCTTGACAAGGGCCACGGGAGGCAAACAGGACGGCCGACGTAGCCCCCGTAAGGCCCCTAGAGGGCCCAAGCTCCGGGTTCCAACGAAGCCCACATGGCGTTGTCCACCAACCTAACCCTAATCCCGGGCCCACAACCACAAATCCCGGAAATCCGCTGCGAACCCGGGATTGGGTGCATTCCCTATAGAACGACTTGCATTCGCATGCCCCGTCGCGACCCCCTGCAACCCACTGCAACATTCTTCGCGCCCCCCGACGACGCCCTCCTCCTCCTCCTCCTCCCGCCTATCGCTCGCCCTCCACACGGCGCCTTTTTTATGGAACCCCCAGAAGCACGGGAATGGCCAGGGACCGCCCGAACTTTGCTGAGATGACGAAGCAAGCGCGCTCTTTTCTCTTGAGCCGCACTCGCTGCGGGGGGGAGCCCCGTCTCCCCGCTCGTTCTGGCCTAGACAGGCCGCCATATCGGGCCTCTTCGGGCCCGCCACTCACGCCAAGGCCCCTTCGGGCCCCAGCCTCATCTGAGAGCCTCTGAGGGAGGTCGTGCACTCACTGGAGCCTGCAAGCCCCACGGCGCCTCGGCGAGGCGACAACCTTCTTCTCCTTGCCATTGGACTCGAGCATGATCTCAGCCGCGTCTCGCCTCGGGGAGCGGCGCGAACCTCGGCGTCGCCAACTTCCACTTGTAGGTGCATGACGCCTGTCTCTGCTTCTCTGCCGTGGTCGGCTTCTCCGTGTACTTCACCTTGTCTCAGCTGCTCGCCCCAGCAGTCATCGCCGTCGGCTCCTCCGCGTGCTTCACCGTAGTCTCTGGGGCCCACCTCGCCCTGCATCGCCGTCCACGCACCAGGCCCATCATGAAAACCATGCCTGTGATCGCAAGGATGAGCATTCACAGGTAGTCATCGATAAGTCGTGGGACCTCACTCCCACCAGGCAGGTGGTCTTCGGGCTGCACGCGCCCAGCTCGCAAGAGGTCGTAGCCGAGCTCGGCGTCGCCCCCTGCGCCAGCAAGGTGGCCAGCAGGCCCTGCCTCGCCCAGCTCGCGCTCGCTGCCACCGAGAACGCCTCGAGCTCCTTGTGCTTGCCCATCTCTGCGCAATCCACGATGCCCGCCAGGTCGCGCAGGTGCTCGAACCGCGCCTCAGGATGGGCCTTCGTGCCCAAGTCGACCACGCTATTCTCGCCGCTCTCCTTCTTCACGTTGAGCCCGTACACCTTCCGCTCTTGCTGGATCCAGTGCCCTGACGTCCAGGTGCTTCGCGCCAGTGCGAAACTTTGCATTCTTCACCTCGCCCATGTCGGGACCTCATGCTGGGCCCTCCTCCGTCGAGCGGGGGACCTTCGCAAGCTTCGCCTCCTCCATGCCCATCGCGTAGATCAGGCCCTCGATGTGCTCAGCGTTCGGTCGCAGCATCACATCGCCGTGCATGGGCCTCAGCCCGTCGCGCTTCAGGTGCGAGTGGCGCCCCTGCCCGATGACATCCGTCGCCTTCAGGTCGAACACCCCCCGCAGCCCCCTGGTCGCCCCGTCTAATTTCGCCTCTGGTGGTGATCCCTCTTCGCCTCCTGCTGCTGGCTGCGCCCCCTGCCCTGGCGCCCCCTGCCGAGGCGACCCCGGCGCCGCCGCTGCCTCTGCCTCTGCCTTCGCCTTCTGCTCCGCCGCCGTCGGGACAACCATGGGCAGAGGTCGCTGCGTCCGCGGCCGCAGCTCCCAGGGCTTAGGGCCCCTCGCCCCCCGGGGCAGCGCCTTCGCCGCCTTCAGCAGCTTCGCGTCGGCCCGCGGCGCCGGCCCCAGCCCCCCGCAGGTCCTGGCGCGGTGCCAGCCCGCAGGCGTCAGGAACAAGAGACCGCCGCGACCTTTGTGCTCCCCGATCCAGATGCCCTCTGCGAAGTTCGACTCGCCCTCGCGCCAGGAACCTTGCCGCGATCTGCCTCGCGTGGGAGGTGGGTGCCTTGAAGGGCGTAGTCTCCGCGAATGGAGAAATTTCGCCGTTGCAAATCACCCCGAATGCTGCCTGATGAAAGGTCCCCCATCGGCCCGTGGTCTGTCGGTGAACGTCGCCCAGCTCACGTAGCGCGTCAACCAGCGCCAAATGGGTGCTTCCGCTGTGATCCTCATGCCGCAGCGCTTCTCCAAATGAAACTTGCATGTCCACAGCTGCGCTTGGAAACGCCTGCTCGGGGCCTTGATCGCGCCCGTGCCCTGACTGTCCGTCAGGTTCCCGCGCTTCTCCCCCAACTTGGCGCTCTTGCTCTGCTTCTTGCGCACCTCCTCCACCGGGTTCAAGATCGCGGGCTCCCCGTCTGCCTTGATGTCTGCTGCCGCGAGGTGCGTGCCCTCCATGAAGCTGCTCGCGCTGGCCACCGCGCAGTCCTTGACCGCCGATGTCGGCATCGAGACCGCGTTGAACACCAGCGTGCCCCTGTCCACCATCACGAGCGTCGTCGCGAAGATGTCCGCCGCTGGCGGTTCCTCGCCCCCGATGTCCGCCCAGTTCCCGCTGGTCTTCAGGTGGCCAAAGTCCAGGGTCTCGCGCGGCCCGGTCGCCTCGTTGCCGCGCGCGCGGACAAGGCGCCAGGGCGCGCGCGCGCGAGGTGCAAGAGCTCGCGGGCTACTCGCTCCGCATCCGATGGCGCCGCAGGTCCTGCAACTGCTCGTGGTGCGATCGCGGGCCCTCCCTGCGCGGACTCTTCACGCCTGCGTTCCAATTTCTTCATCCTGTTCTGCTGCGCCGTGAGCCTCCGCCCCGCGTCGCTGGCCCCGGCCCGCAGCTCGCCCTTCCTGCCGTGGATCGGCGCCCCTAGCTCTCTGAGCGTCGCCCGCGCGTCCTCCACGCGGCTCTCGGGGTGCAGGGCGATCTGCTGGCCTCCTCGCTGTGGCACTGGTCGTCGTGCAACTCGTTCTGCGCCTCTTGTTGGTCGTCCTGCCGCTGGCTGCGCTGGCCCGGCTGGTGCCGCTGCGGCTGCTGGCCCAAGCGGGGCCGCCGCAGCTGGCCCGCCTCTGCCTGAGGCCCCGGGCGACGGCATGAAGTCCTCCTCCTGCTGCTCGTTCGCGTTCGCGCTGGCCGCGAACCCCTTCGCCTCCATCGTCGTCCTGAAGGTCTTCGCGTTGAAGCTCAGCGTGTTGTTCCTCCTCGCGAGCGGGATGCCCTGGCTGAGGTCGCCGCCAGGGCACATGCACATGCCCGTCTTCGCGCTCGCCGGAACTCGGCGCCCTTGTCCACCGCCTCGAGAAGCGAGAGGATCGGCTTCGACGCCGAGTCCCCGAGCCTGAAGTCCACCATCAGCAACTTCGTCGGCTCGTCGCGTTGTCCGCCGCCTGCCTGCAACCCTCACCATCTGGAACTGTTCCGTTATGCGAGAGTTGATTGCATGAAACTCTGGGCTGATCACACTCTGGCGGCCTCTCCATGGAAATCCTCGACGAAGGGATACTTGTCAGCGACCATGGTGCGCCGTTGCTCGCCCCGCCTCCCGACTCAGCCTCTGCGCGCCCGTGCTGCGCCCCACGCGCTTCGCGCGGGCGGAGTGCGGGGGATGCGGGGCGCTGAACGGCATCGGCCGTAACCGGCCCTCTTGATCCATCATCAAAAACTGACGGGGTAACAGCCTCTGTGCGACTATCTAAAATACGCCCAGTCTGCGGCCCCTGGGCCCCAGCCTGAATGCCACCATGCCGTGGAGTGGTCAGTGGGCTGTGCCTTCCTCGGGGGGGGGGGCCTCAGGGTGCTGCTCGAGCTGCGCCCCCGTCCTCCCCTGGCCTCGCTGCCGCCCCTCATCCTCTCCTGGCTGGGGCCCGGGCCCCCCCCGCTTGTCTGCTCCTCGCGGCCAACTCCTGTTAGGAACGCTTAGCTCTCTTGGCTGTGAACTCAGCAAGCTTGGTTTTGAATGCATCCTGATCGTTGGCCAAAGCGAAAAGCTGCTCTTGTTCACCTTCGCTGAGCAAAATATCGCACTCTCTTTTGACGCCACCAGGAGTCGCTCCAGGCTGCCCCTGTCCGCCGACGCCTGGATCCCCAGAAGGTGTATTCCCATCAGAATCAACATCGATCTCGTTAGGAAGCTTATGCACTTTCTTGGCCAACAGCTCCTGTAGCCTTGTCCATTCTGCACGCTGGAGGAAACATGCCAAATATTATGGTACTTTGTCGTCCTCTGTGAACTCGAAAAGTTTCGAACAATCTGGCTGCCCCATCGGTGTAGCCGCCTCTGGAGTGACTCGGTCTGCAGTTGAGCAACCTGTTCTTTCGTTGCAATGATCTCATCCTCACGCTTCTCGAAGGATTGTCGCAACCCTTTGAACTGCTTCTCTGTCTCTGCCAGCTCCTCTTCCATCTTTTGAACTGAGTCCTTCGCCCTGGTGAGATCTTGAGCGGCACGGCGGTGTGCTGTGGTGGGAGAGCGCTGCTGCTTGTGCTGGCCGCGCAACTCGTTGATCCGATCTTCGATGGGCTTCTTGAGACTTTCATCGCTGGTTCGAAGACGTTTGACCACATCCTCGAGCTCGTTGATTTCCAACATGATCCTGTCACGTTTGACATTGTCTGGCTCATTTCCTTTGTCGTTGTCTCCATCTGCTGGCTGCTCATCAAGATTGATCCACGGCGGCTTTGCCCCAGCGCTCTGGGGCTGAGGTGGCTTATGTGGCTTCTCGGGCTGAATGGCTTGCAGTAAGTGCGCAAGCTGTGACTCGAGCCTCTGCAATCTGCTCGAATCCCCACTGCCTCCTTTGCCATGTCCACCTTTGCCCCCTTTTACTTTTTCCTTTGGAAGGAGCATTCGCTGTCCATTGCGCTGCGTTCTCCTTCGCCTTATTCGGGATCCTGGACGGAGCAGGGTTGCCGCACTGACACACCAAACGGCTCGCAAAATTGCGTGCTGCTCCGCATCTGCTGCACCCCCGCACAGGGTACTTCGGGCCTGGGGGCACTGGAGAAATTGCAGTCCCCTGCCTAGCAGGCGTCGGCACCATCTGTCCGCCTTCGGCAGTCTCGAAATGAATGTGATCCTCGTGAAAGCTGTGGAGGATGAAACTCCACTGCTGTTTGTCGCGGTGTGGCCTCGAATGGTACGCTGTTCGGGCCGCGACTCCCCTGCCAAAAAGATCCTCAAGTCCCTGAGCCTCTCGCTACGGACTTGAGCCAACATGGCTACGGAAGAGACACCCACGAGAGCCTCTAGACGGCCTGGATGGCCCCAGGACTGCCCAAGGAACCGCAGATGAGCCAAAAAGAAACCCAACAGGCCCTCACAAGGTCCCGAAGCGATCAGAGCGGTGATCAGAGAGGCTGAAGAAACACCCAAGACAGCACAAGAGCGCCCCAAGAAGGAGCCAGAGGGCCTCCAGAGGCCACCAAGACGGCCCAGGAGGCCCTCATCTGGATTCCCAGACAGCAGAAATCGCCTCATTCCCTCCGGGGAACGTACTTTTCAGCACATTCGCTGTTCAAGTCTTAGCGTCCAAAACAGCCAAGAAGGCCTCCAGTATCGCCCCAAGACGGTCCAAGAGACCCCCTAGCGAGCCTCTAGATGGCCTGGACGGCCCCAAGACTGCCCAAGGAAACCCCACACGAGCCAAAAGAGGCCCAACAAGCCTTCACAAGGCCCCCAAGAGAAGCCCCCAAAGGCCATGGGAGGCTCCCCGAAAGGCAATTGGAGGCCCGAGCTGACCCGAATTCTGGGCCCGCATTCTCAAGTCCCGGACATCTGCTGCGAACCCGGGATTGGGTACATTCCATAAATGATTCCTTGCGTTCGCACGCCCCGTTGCGACCCGCTGCAACCCGCTGCAATATTCTTCGCCGTCCCCGACGGCGCCCTGCTCCTTGTGTATCTGCTGCTCCACCACTCGTCCTCCCCCACATCCGCTTCATCTCTTCTGTCTCCGACGGGGGCCCCCAGAGGCCCGGGAAGGGCCAGGGGCCGCCCGAACGTTCCAAGACATCTGGAAGAAAACCACCGCAAGGAAGGGGCCAAACTTCCAAGGCAACTAAGGATTGCGCGAACGACCAACAGATGCAAAGCCTCAAGGTGCATGGCGTGAAGCGCCAATGCCTTCTTGTGTATGTACATATATATGTATACAAGACTTGAAGCTCGCTGCGCTTCGCTTGAAAGTCTTGGCATAGTGCATGGTGGGAGTGAGGCGTGGGCCGAAGGCGGCCGTTGGGCCGTGCAAGGAAGTGTGCGCAGGGCCGAGAACTGGACGAACATCGCAATGCACGCCGGCACGAGGACGACGGGGGCGCGCGCGCGCACGCGCGCGCGCGGGTGGGCGCGCGCGTGCGAGGGTACAGAAGGGCGGGTGCCATCACTAACGACAGGAAGAATTAGCCCGGAAGCTGTCCTAAGTTTCTCCTTCAATGTGTGTTGCACTTCTTCGTCTCTGTCGTTTCAGGGCGCCGTGATTGCCTCTGAAGGTGTCCGGAGGGATGCTCTGGGAACGCGCATGCGAGAGATGAGGAGTGAGGGTTGCGGCGAGGGTCGTTTATCGGTCCTCTGGCGCACAAAAAGTGGCCACGACGGTACTGGCAAGCGAGCGCGGTGCGGGCTCGCTGAGCAGGCGATCCTACTGGCGGGGGGGGAGTAGAGGGAGCGGTTGCCGGGCAAGTATCGCACCGGCACGAGTGCCGAGAAAAAGGAAGGCTAGCAGGGGCCAGCGGATGCGCGTGAAAGCGGCGTGCTGCAGACCGCACGTCAGTTCTTCGCTTTCTTGGCGGGCTTCTTCGCGACGGCACCGCCGACGGCGGCCGCCGCCGGGCGCTTCTTGACGGACGTGGGGGCGGCCGGCGCCTTGGCGGTCAGGGCAGAGGGGACGGCGTCCACCATGGCCGTGTTCGGGTCACACGTGGTCCACGTGATGAACTGCGGGTACTTCTTCTGCAGGCTGCGCAGCGGCGCGAGGATCTTCTCGGGGATGTTCTTGGCGACGGCGACGCAGAAGTTGTGCAACTCCTTGACCGTGTGGTCGGTGCCGTCGAGCATCTTGAAGGACCGAGTGAGCTGGACGCGGTTCTGGTTGCGGACGCTGGAGACTGTGAAACCGTTGTGTTTCCCCGTCGGCGGCACGACGAAATCGGCTTCGATGTAGCTGTGCTGGAGTCGGTCTGCGGTGGTCTGCAGCACGTGCTTCTGCGCGTTGGCTGTGGCGCTGGCGGACTGGCCGAATGCCGCGTGGACGTGGGCCCAGCTCGGATTCGGGTTGCCCTTGCTGCGCGCCCTGGCGAAGCCACGCTGCGCGATCTGGACGCCAGCGGGGGCCTCGTTCAAGTCGTGAACGGCGACGGCGTCCTTCCACAGCGTGGTGAGGCCGTGGGTCTTGCGCTCCTCGCGGAAGCGCAAGCTCGCGCCGTCGGCGATGGTGACGCGAACCCGTTCGCTTTCTTCTTGTTGATGTCAAGGAGCTCGATGTGGATGTGTTCCGTGTAGAGCGACACGTAGTCGCGGTTCTTCCCCGCGTCTGCCGCCTTCGCAGTGGTGGCTGCGGTCTGCTCCGGGGCGTGCTCGTAAGTCGCGTTCGAGCTCTTCGGGGCCATGGCGAGCTGGGGCGCGCGGCGGGGGGGGGGCTGCCGAGTGGGCGGCCGGACGTTGGTGAGCGCAAAGCTGCTTGAGGAGCTTCGGGCCAGATGGCGCGGGGAGCTCGGGGTTGTCCGCGGGCGGCGGGGCGACTGTTATTGGCACGGAAGTTGTCCGGAGAATGTCTGTGGCAGTGTGTGCGCACGGGGAGCCGCGGCGATTTTGTGCATTGCCGCGCTGGGGTTGCATCATTGGGAGTGCACAATCAGGCGCAGGCAGAATCGGTGGAAAACAATCGAATGGCGGGCTGCCTGCAATCGCGCAGGTAGGAAAATAAATTTGGGCCCCGAGCCGGAGGCGTGCGCCCGCCGAATCTGCCCGGAAGCTGTCTCAGAAATCGCTGTCCCGGGGCGGGTCCAAGTTGTCGTTCGGCTGCCATGGAGGGGGGGGGGATTGGCTAGTGAAATCCCCCGGAAGCTGTCCCGAGAGTTGCCTTGCCGTTGGGCGTGGAATTTCCTGGCTGTCCTGGAGGTAGGTCACTGCCCTGGGAGTCGCCCAGACAATGCCAGTCGGGACAAAACAATTGACGATGATGCACCCCTTTGCCCGCGAGATGGGGCGCCCAAAAAATCGCGCGGCACACGTGCCAAGCGTATTTGGGATGGCCGTGTAAACAGCCAGGCGCGCCTCAATGGAGAGGGTTGTTATTGTTTGGCATCGGGGGAAGAGGATTCCCCTGGAAGACCCCGAAACCGATGTCCATGTCATCGGCACCATGTTCGCTCCGATGTTCCACGAGGGTGTTGATTGCGCCGGAAGCTGTCCTAAAAATGCTGCGTTCTCTTTCTGCTGCCCCCCCCCGTTTGCTCTTGCTCCTGCCTGTTCCCTCCTCCCCCCCCCTCCTCCTCGTCGTCCTCCTCCTCCTCTTCTTCGT